GTGTGTGTGTGTGTGTGTGTGTGTGTGTGTGTGTGTGTGTTTGTATATATGGATAATTGAAACTACTTGTTTAAACATTTTGGTTGAGAGTTTTATACATTTGAAACAACTAGTATAGCGATTCATATTAAACAAAAAATTTAAATTAAAATAAAGAACAATGATTGTGGCTGTATCTCAAGTTCAAGTTCAAGTAGGTTTTATTGTCATTTGACCACATGCGGTACATGAGGTGGAATGAAATTGTGATTTGATAAATTGAATATAGAAGGCTGCAAAGAAATACATATAAATTAAAGCTTATGAAACTATTTAGGCAAGCTTGAGGAGTAAATAATCAAAAATAAGGCGGAAAAGTAAAATATTAATGAAAGAATGAAAAAAATAATTAAACCGTTCTAAGTCTCATGTTCAAAGGCTGATTTCTTTCATTCTTACAAAACCAAATAATATTTAGCAAGACGCTTAAGCTAAATCAACCTTAGTAAAGAGTGAACATGATAGTTTTGTTTATCATCGCGGCTCAGAAAGAAAAGTGTACTTGAATTTAAATGGTTGGAATTTTTTTGCCTTATCAAGTCTACCGCCAGGTGGCAGAACTGTTCCAATTTGGTGCGATCCACCCACTAAAGAAGAAAATGGACCAATCATGTGCAGCCAAATAAAACCCGGAAGTGTCTGACAGAAGAACCTGAACGTTACTTTAGACTTTGTTTAGGGTTTGGACTTTGAGTAGGTTTTGTCACAATATTAAAAGTTAAAAAGGTTGGAAGTCCAGCTGTTAGTGTAACCAGACAGGTGTGTGATTGCAGGTATGTCGTTCAGCGGAGAAGCAGTGCTTCGGGCCGGGGAGGCGTCGCTGTTTTGGCTCGGTGCTGTGACCGCGGCCTGTCTGTCGGTGTGCTTCGTGCTCCGGCTGCTGTCCGGCTTCAGGGTGTGGGTGCTGGGCAACGGACGGCTCGTGGCCCCCGACAACCTGGGGAAGTGGGCAGGTGAGAGTCTGCATAACGAACCCACGAGCTTAGTTTTTTTATTTTAAACCACAAACATCTATTAGAGAAAACAAATCAGAATGAATGAAATTAAGTTGAATAAAGTACTAGAATCAACATCGAACATATACAGTACGACTGGAATTAAAATAAAAGCACAACAGTATCAAACTATACAATTTTAAAATCCAGTTTAATCAGATTTGATTTGACATTTAGAAAATGTGTAATGGAAATTTAGAAGTGACTCAGAAAACTTTCCAAGTCGCTTAAAGTGCAAATATATGACAACGACATGATGGACATATTAATAAAACAAGTTTTCCTCATGAATCCTGCTTGCAGTACAGTGTACTTAAGATTGGTTTATTGATCATAAATATTAAAATGTATCTACTGGCTGCATCTTTAAAGAAATAATTCCTGATGAGCAGTTTAGAGTGATTATGGTAAGTCAATGAGTTTGTAGATGTCAGCCCAAAGAAGATCTCTTGAATGAAGACATGCCAGTGGTTGGAGGACGAAGTGAACAGTTCAACTTGGACCCACATTTTGAGGTTCTGTTCATGTTTTCTAGATTGAAGTCTGTGCATGGTCCAATCTATCCATTGTGTGTGAGTATTGTGTTTGAAAGTGTAGAGAACTGCTAAAATATGGAAACAGAAAAACAAAATCGGTCTTAGCAATCTTAAAGGAATGCATGTTAATCACGGCTTTTCACGCTTCTGCTCTGGTATCTGTGCACGTTCATGTGAAAAATAACACACCGTTTGGTGATTTTTCTGCTAAAAGGAAAAATCAAATGCCAACCCAGGTGTAAGAGTTATTTATCCTGTTTTATATTTGAAATAATTATAATTTGTTTAATTCCTTTAGGATTACTTTTTTTTTTTTTGCTGTAATGATTTGTAAGTAATATATATTTTGTTAATATTTGTTGTATTTTTGGTTGTATTAATTAATTTGATTATGAAGGATAGGTAGAGACCATGGGAACCCATACATAGGTGAGCAGGTACCGGACCAGCATGCAGTGGGGCAGGCCTATGTTTTTATTTATTTATTTTTTTACCAGAGCAAAGAAGGCAACACAGGAAGCACAAAGTTTGTTTGTTGCTTTTTGAGCTGGATTAAAACAACCATAGAAATAAATATCCTGATGCATGCTCAATAATCCAGGTAGAAAAATCTAAAAAAGTTAATTCTGGTCCTCTGGACATTCAAAAAACAACAAAGCAAAAAAATATAGAAACGTTTCGTCTTTCATCCGAGAGACTTCCTCAGTCTGAGGTGCTGTATTCAGCTCAGTCTCTTAAATAGCACCTTATCGTAGTGGATCAACCAGTTTTGCTGCTGACAACCAAAACCAGCTGCTCACATGCTCAAGAAGGACCATCAGCCTAACAATGGATTATTAGCACCCTGATGGCTATTTACTATTCACAGGAGGTTGAGTGATACTAGCAATCACAGCATTGTAAGAGGGGGACAGTTGAACCCGGAGGCCTCCACCCCTGTTTAATGATGGACGGTTTCTTTTCACAAAGATGGCCTCCTTTACTCCTCTCTCAAACCATCGTTCCTCTCTATCCAGGATGTGAACATCTTCATCCCTGAAAGAGTGACCGCTGGCCTGGAGATGAGTGAAGACCGCAGAGTCCTGGCCTGATGATGTTGATCACAATATTAATCTGTTTGTGCCGGGGGACTGGATCTTTGGGATGAACCAGTCTTTGCCGTAAAGTATTTTGGGGTTTAAAAGCCACTGGGACGTTATGTTTAGAAAATAAACGTCTCAGTTTCTCTGATACTCCCTCAACATATGGAATGACCACTGGTCTGGGTTCTTCCTTTTCACCTGATGGCTGACTGGAGTCCTGTTTGGGTTTCTTCTCTGCTTTCAGGAAGGCCCAGTTAGGATATCCACATTGCTCTAGAGCCTGTCTTGTGTGGGATTTCTCCTTCTGCCTGGCTCCTGAGCTAGTGGGGACGCTGTCTGCTCTGTGGTACAGAGTCCTGATGACTCCTAACTTGTGCTCCAAAGGGTGATGGGAGTCACAAGGAGTGACAAGGATGGATAAGATTAGGAATGAGATCATCAGAGGTACAGCACAGGTTGAACAACTGGGAGATAAAGTGAGAGAGACCAGACTGAGATGGTTTGGACATGTCCAGAGGAGGGACAGTGGGTATGTTGGTAGAAGGATGTTAGAAATGCAGCTGACAGGAAAAAGACAGAGGAGATATATGGATGCAGTTGGAGAGGACATGGAGGTGGATGGAGTGAAGACAGAGAATGCAGAGGACAGAGTGAGATGGAGGAGGATGACTCCCGAAGAGGGAAAAGCCGAAAAAATAATCTTCTGATCTCATGATCTCAATGTTTTATCAAGTCTTAAACTCAACATACTATAGGATACGTTTTGAATCTGTAAAGGGTCAAATATTCTTGGTTTCTCTGATGATTTGCTGATCATATGACGGAGTCAGAGCTAACTAAATTTATGTATGGAGTTAAAAGTTTCTGATCTGACCTAACCAGCAGCACTTAGTAACTTACTGACTTACACATCCAGAAGTTTTTCTAAATCATTCTTATCTAAACCTAATTGTGTTTTTATGGAGTGATTTTCTTCATTTTTCTAATAATAGACTCTGCAGTCCTTTATGAATTGTGTTTATGAGTGAGCAGATTGTTTTTATATCACTTTGTTTGACCAATATTTTTTCTTCAGAAAAAGCATCGAATGACATGTTTAATGTGTCATTTTATGTGAATGCACTCTGTGTGGGACCAAAGCAGAAAGTCTGAGTAAACAAAGTAACGCCAGAATCACCGTCATTGTATCTTTTATTTCTGGGTAGTTTTAGGCATTGTCAAGCCAGATTATGAAAGAAAGCCCAGCTTTCTTGAACTTGCTTTGCAGGTGCAAGTTGGAGCAGGTTCTGAACACTGTTATTAACTGGGCTCAAAGAGTTAATCAGTGATACTGAAAACTGACTTTCGGTTCAACATAGCCAGGTAAGTCGTAAGTCTTGGGACCTCTGAAGTTGCCTACTGACAGAGTTACTGTACTTTCAGCCTTACACGTCGCACCACCGTATAAGTTGCATCAGTCCAAAAATGTCTAATAAAGTGGAAACAAAACATAAATACGTCCCTTTGCCGTATACGTCACATCTATTATGCATCACCACTGGCCACCTGGAAATGTGGGCCGGTGTTTTGCCAAAAATCGATTGGATGCCAAATGTTGGCCGCGGGAGCGTGCACGGGAGGACTTTAACAAGAATGTAACAAGATTAACACTTAAAAACAATTATTTGTTTGCTCATAATTATAGTAAAGGTGTGTCTCAGTTGAACTTTTCCTTAATAAATGCACTTTAATGGTCAAATCAGCTGCATTTCACCTGGGCGGTGCAATGAAGTGAAGTTGATTTGACATTTAATCCAGGAGTTCTGGAGCGAGATGAAGGTGACTGTATGGCAAGCCAAGTGTCTCATTAATAGCCACTTTTACCTATTAATGAGACGCTTGGCTTGCCATATTATTCAAGGGCCCTCTAGTGGCTGAAAATGGTAGTGTTCAATATATTAAATGTCAGAATGAATGAAATCGTCAGATCTCAGCCAAAAATTGGTTATAAATATTGGATTAAAAAAAACAAATAAGTTACTTTGCTGTATAAGTTACAGGGCATGCTAATTTATGCAAAAAGGTGTGACTTATACAGCAAAAAGTACGGTAAGTGATAGGCTAAAATAAATGTAATCATTTGTCTAGAAATGTTTGCTGTCAAAGAGTTTTAATAGCAAGGCATGGCATGATGTTTCTTAAATAATTTGGTCAGTGGTTTTGTACACTGCAGATCATCTGCATCATGTGCTGCCATTTTAAAGGTGCTGCTGAAATATTTGCTATAAGTTGACACTTAAGCGTCACTATTGCTGGAAACTCAGAGAAGATGACAGGAGGTCATCTACAGCTACGGTTTTTAAACATGTTTGTAAACATGGTCAAATATTGTCATCTGCATTAAACTAAAGTTATTTTCTTTCCAGTTTGTGTATCTACAATCTATCTGACCTTTAATAGTTCATGTTCTGTCCAGTTTCGTGGCATGACGTCATTGATCTGTCAGCAGAAAGCTTCAGAACATCACCAGGAAATGAAGAATGGGCAGAGAATGATGAGCCTTTTGTCTTTGGTTGTAAACTGCAGTAAAGCTTGTGGCTGGATTATGGTTCAAAAGATTATCAAATCAGATTGGATACAGCCCATCTGTCCCCACCGCTAACTTACTGACCCTTGAAATTTGAATAAACCACTTGCTTAATATTCGTACGTGTGGCGCTCAAAGTTCACATTTCAGAATAAAGTAAAATGAGCTGTGATGCACAGCTCGGCTACTTTGGATTGAGACGGATCAAAAAGATTTAAATGTGTAAGCTGAATAATCTGTTTTGCGTTCTTTATCTTGTTTTGGACGGTAAAGTAAAGGCTAGTGGTTGAATGTAAGGGAGGGGTTTAATTCATTATAATCTCTGCAGTCTCTTTGAACCCGTGTTGTTGCATCACCCTGCCAGAGAAAACCAAATGTTTTAACTTTAAGAGCTGAAGTTGCTTTTGATCTTTTTGTGTGCACAGCTAAAAATGGAAGCACATCAGATAGGGGGGGGGGGGGGGGTATTTTTGGAGTTCTCGTGCAAAAGGGTTCAGAATATGCAATGAGGCAAAAGGAGCCCGTTGGCTTCCGCTGCTACTTTCATTCACAAACTTTTTCTGAGAGCCGTGGACTTGACTGATTATATAACGCTGCCGGAGCCATTCATGAATGCGGCTCGTCCGTGAGATGCAGGATCCTCAGGATTCTGGTTAACTGCTGCTCACATTTCACGCATGTGTGTCTGTGCACGTGGGTGGAGGAGAGGCTGATGCTGAGCGACTGAGTAGAAGAAGAGCAGCTGTGCTATCGTTACAGAGAGCCATTGTAGTG